CTTTCCCTGTTTCCCATTCTATATATGCCTTCATATATACCACTTCACTATGTGGAGTAGATTATTTTTATTTTGGGGGAGGTTATACTTAGCGTATTGTTTTGCTAGTGACAACAATAAGCAATAAAAGGAGAAAAAAATTACCTGTATGATTGAAGTTTAGTGGTCAATGATCTTTAACATTACATATTGTTTTCTTGAACTTCTTATAGGGTTTTTTTAGGAGAACAATTCGACTAAAACTCATCTATGATAAATGTGATCGCAACTGCAAAATTCAGAAAAAAAATCGTAATAAGTGCCAATACTGTCGTTTCCAAAAGTGCCTTTCAGTTGGAATGTCGCATAATGGTAGGTAAGAGTGCCCTTAATAATTTGTGTGTTCCTACCCAGGGTCTGCTTCTGGAAACAGGCCAGGGTCTGCTTCTGGAAACAGGCACTTGGATGGTTTTATACTTACTGATGGGAGTGGAACCTCAAGTTTTTACAATATAGATTGGGGGACGGGGATCTATTTCACTAATAACTAGTTAATATAATTGGTACACAGCTGCCAAATGTACTTTTGTGAACCCTGCACAATTGTGTCGTTTTTCTGTTTGCCCATATGAATGTTCACTAGTTGTTTTCTCGAGCCAGAACTTTGGCACCGTTGGTCCCATTGAAAGAAATTCCAGGAGTAGGAGGAGAACGAGCTCATTGTGGGAGGGAATGACATAGGCTAGAAATCTGTCAGAAACCAGACTTCATTATTTTGCAGGTTGCAGTGTAACAGCAGGGAATATGGGGGGAGGGGGAGATCTGTGCTGACTGTGGAGCAGGAATCTGGTAGGTTACTTGTTAAATGAAACAGTAATAATTTAAATCATTTAGATAACCAACTTTAAAATTATGTTATTGTTTGTGTTAACAATTTAGCATGGGACTGGTAAGCCTGTGGCTTACAGGCCCATTTCAACCCACAAGGCAGTCTGATGCATGATATGTAGCTTGCTAAACAACTTTGGTAAAGAGGGGAGAAGAAAGAAGATAAGAGACCAAGCCAAGAGAAAGTATATTTTGATTGGCCAGATGACAGGTGTGATAGTATTGAGGCTGAGCTTGGGAGCAGGTGTGATTTGGGAGTAGGCTGCTGGGCTAGGTGAAAAGCTATGGATGGAGAGATGAACTTCAAAAGGAAATAATGCAGTCTAAGATAGCAAGGGTGGGGACACAGTGTGGGGAAGCTGCCTATGGCAAGAGTATAGTCCAGAGCCCTAGCAAGGGACACTGGGAGGGTTGACTTTCTGAGTCTAAGGCTCCCTCATGCAGAGCCCAAGATAGACTAAGATTATGCCCACTAGGAGAAGGTTTATGTTCTTGGTTGGTGGGTGATAAGCTTCCTGAAGCCGCAGGCTTGGGAAGAGTGTGCCAGCCCACAGAGTAAGGTCTCTGGGGCAGCATTTTAGTAGGGAGCTATGTTTGCTGGCAGGGACAGTTCAGCTGAAGCCATTTCAGCCTACTAAAACAGCATGGGTATCTGTGCCCCAGCTGAAGTGGGGAGCAAACATGTAGAGGTGATAGCGGAAGGAGAAGACCAATAACTTGTGGGTAGCACTTCTGAGGAGGTAGATTTACAGTAAGCTTATATCCATGACCTTAAAATTAGAAGTTTCAGGTTAGGACAGATATTCTTCCACTTTTCTAATAGATCCATGGCCCAATTCAGGGCAGGCCTTCCATGTTAGGACTTGCATTGAATTCAAAAACTGCATTTCGGATCAGTCCTAGAGTGACCTCCTAATGTCAGAAGGAGAATTCCTTGGGTCTGTGAAGCACTAATTGTATACATGGTCTGAACTGCCGAATCAAAGCACTGAGGGTCCATCATTCCCCTGATTAGACACTGAAATGAGGCAAGAGTAACAAGCTACATTGACTATCTCCAAACCTTGCACACCATCAGAGGGTAAGGCTCCTTGTAAAAGGAGTTGCTTTAGTTTTAAGATGAAACTGAAGAAGGATGTGAAAGTACCTATTTCATTGCTAAAAGGCAAGAGCACTTGCTCAAGAAATGAGAGACCTCTACACACAGTGGGGTTTCAAACTCGCATCTCCTACCTCTCAAGAGAATCTCCTAACTGCTAGATTGGATAATCAAAACCTGCTCTCATCCCATCCAGTCTTTCTCTACGGAGAAAGAATTATAAAATTCTGAGTCTGGGAGGAGGTTTTGTTGACTATAGCCCAGTGATTTGAGCATAAATCTGGGTCTCTGGGTCTCTCTTGTTTTGCTCTTGCTAGGCGGTACAGGAATGTTGAACGGAGCAACAAGCGCGTACAGAACTAAAGAGCCCGGCAGGCTCAGAATCAGGAATGGAATTGGGGCCCACCTCTGTGCAGTGTTCCCTACCAAGTAACTCCCTAGGCAGATCCCCAGCTGGCATATATGTTCTTTCAGTCAAGCTCCTGACATGACTTCACGGAACTGCTGTTTTTTAGAATTCTAATGGATGACTGAGTTTCACGTTGGGAGTTGTAGGTGTAGTTTGTGTTTTGAAACGTTTTGATTGCTTTCAGTTTAGCATACTCTGACTTGATAATTAGTCACTGACTCTGTTGGAAAGGATGAGATTATTTCATTCATGAATTTATCATAATAAGTGTTCTACTTCTACTTTGTCTTTGCAGATAGTCTTACTGCTCTAGTCAGCAATGGAAAAAGGCATGGGTTTTTGTATAACTTATGTTTATTTTACAATTGTGTCTTTCCCGTCAGCAATACGTTTTGGACGAATGCCAAGGTCTGAGAAGGCAAAGTTAAAAGCAGAAATTCTAACAGGTGAAAATTATGTAGAAGATTCAGAAATGGCAGATCTTAAATCACTTGCCAAAAGAATTCATGACGCCTACCTGAAAAACTTCAATATGAACAAGGTTAAAGCCAGAGTCATCCTTGCTGGGAAAACTAATAACAATCCAGTAAGTAGTTTTGCTGTAATTTTACTTTAAAGTTGGCATGTCCTCAAGGAAATGTAATAAGTTGTTAAACTCTTAAGCTAATCTTTTGGATGATAAATAGCATGTTAATACAGACACAAAATATGCAAAAAACCAGAATCAGAATAGGAAGCTTTGGGAAAATCAGGTGACTCAATGGATGGTTATGGTTAAATGGAAGCTCATAACCTTAAATTATAACAAAGAGGGGAGAAAAAGAAAATTAGTTCTTAATCAAAAAACAGAATGTGATATCTGAATGTGAGTACTTCTAGGCTTTTTTGGGGGGAGGGAATGATTAAAAATTAATTTCCTGTTATGATGAAAGTTAAAAAGAAAAATTTTTATTTTGAATTTGTATAATGCTCTTCTGCTACAAATATCAGGATAAATGTTGTTATCTTTTAGGACATGTAGAAGCTCTCCATACAATTCTTGTTTTAACCACAGTAGTAGTAATGGTAGGAGTGGAAAGAGAACTCAGTTTGTAATTCTTCATTTAGAGTTCTGACCACTTCCTTACCCAGCCTTCCTGGTTTTATGGTTGCTTTGAAAGGCAGAAGTGAACAAGCTTGTGAAGACATATAAGTTGCAGAGTTTATTTTTCTTACAGGATAATTTAGCTAACCTCTTATACTAAATAGTGAATGTTCTCTGTGAATTTTTACTTGAGACACTTGGGTCATTACTGATTAATAAGCAGTTGTGTAATATTTACTCATGAGTTTTACAACATCTTTGAAAATTAACTCTGAGCCAAACAGTTTTGACAATCTGGCATAAACTTCCTATAAATGATTGAATGTGGTTTTAAAAAAAAAAAAATCATCATTAGACACGGAAGAGTTTGGGCTGGCTAGTGATATCAACTGCTTTTTGTTTTGTAGCTCATGAGATAGTATAACCAATGTAAGGACTGGCTTGTTTCATTTTTATGTATAATTTTTTTTAATTTCTGTTGTGATTTGTGTTAATATATAGAAGATAAAATCGGTAGTGTAAAATAAGAGATGTAACTTCAGTAAAAGGTGGGGGGAGGAGGAAGATTTTACATTTACCAGAATAAAAAACATGTATAGCTATGGGGCTGAGCGTTACCAGAATTGTAAGCAAGATGTCTTCTAAATAGTGGAATTTGATATATTATAGGTCCAATCTAGCCAAGCATAGGGATTTCTACCTTAAAAGAGAAACATGAATAATCCCCGTCTTTTTCACTGGATTAATGAGATACTTACATTTTAAGTATGGGTTTAAACTTGTGGAAGGGGGTACAAGCTGACATAACCCTACAGCACCTATGGTGCTTTAACACCTTACCAAGTGGTTACCTGCATACAATCTTTTTCAAGCTTGTTATTACCTGACTTAATCCTAAATTGCAATATCGGTTGGGATTCTGCAATGCAGAGATTCTGGATCATTAAACTGTAATTGTGTTTGAATTTAAGCCAGGATGAGATTGATTTACTGGCTCTCAGATTAGAGTCATCTGGTTCGCTAGAGAATAGTGGTTTGCATATGTGTTGATGAATTTACGAGTAAAAAAAATGAAGAATCAGAACTAGCATATTGTAAACAGGTTGTTTTTCCTAGTGATGAGGTGGTATTTTTAAATTTAGCTCTTAAATTCTAAGCAATACCTATTTTCCACATAGTGAAAGGATGTTAAGTTCTAAAAAGATTTAAAAGATTACATCATTTTAAATAGTTTGGAAATTTCAGATTGTTATTGTTTTTTCACTTTCTTATATCCACATGCACATGGAAAGAGCTGTTCCTTATAACTCTTAAGTATTGAAATGAGATGGAATGTATAGTCACCATAATCATCATAATATCAGTGGACAATATCCACTGTGGTCCAGTGATCTGTAAGAAAAATTGCATGTTTTACCATTTTCTAAGTAAAATAAGTGAATTCTGTCAGAGTTTCTAACAGAACACAAAACGTTCTTCAGGATCTTTAGTGTGAGACAAGTAAAACAGCACAGGGAAAGTGCTTTGCTTAGCATTTATGGAACTAAATTTATGTTCGAGGTCAATAGCCATGACTTTGATCAGCTGGAAATAGTTAGTTTTTATTGTTTTTCTTTCAAGGATTGTCCTTCTCTTTGAGTACTGCTCTTCAGGTACGCTAGTCAAAATACAGTGCACTAAAATATTTTTGAGTTCTGGTTGCTCTTCTTAAGAAAGTGTGGATGATTTTTAAAGTGATATTTTAAGAGAATGGCTCATCAATTTGTAAAGTGCATACCTTTATAAATAATAAATAATATTATGATTTAATATTAATAATTAAATGTGAATATTTTATTTATGGAAAATATTGTGGGCAAGACTGAAATTTTGTGTTGTCTGACATTCTAGTGTGATTTGGGATTTAATGATGATCTAGCACTAACTGTAGCTAGAAAGGTGAGCTGAATTTTTGTGGAAGATCAGCTGGAACATAGTTTATGATAATTTGATAATAAAGTACAAGAATAATACAGGGGTCACAATCTTGTGTAAATTATTTAAATAACTGCCTATATTTACATTTCCTATATTTAGAGAAAGATATTTCAGGAAAGCATCGTGCTAGGCATCAGGTATAGTTAGTTCAGGAATGATAGGGATGTAGGCAGAATAACATGGGCTTCTGGAGAAGGTAATACAAGTCTTTTGAGAATCTTCTGGGACTTAGTCTGAGATGGATGTATACATGATAAACCCTGTGCTGCTGGATCTTCACTGCAACTACTGACTAGTTAAAGCAAAACTACGTTAAAATGTAAATATACGTGACATTATTATTTGCACTGTCATTTGCAGAGCAGAGTTACTCTTAGATACTGCAGTTTGTAGTTCTGTAATACCTGGTTACTCAAGATGCAGAAATATGAAATAATTGAAGGTTTTTTTTTTGCTCTGTAGCCATTTGTTATACATGATATGGATACCTTGTGTATGGCAGAGAAGACCCTGGTGGCAAAACTGGTAGCCAATGGAATTCAGAATAAGGAAGCAGAAGTTCGAATCTTCCATTGTTGCCAGTGCACCTCTGTAGAGACTGTCACAGAACTTACTGAATTTGCCAAATCTATCCCTGGCTTCTCCAATCTTGACTTGAATGATCAAGTAACACTGTTAAAATACGGAGTTTATGAAGCCATATTTGCCATGTTAGCTTCTGTGATGAACAAAGATGGCATGCTGGTAGCCTATGGAAATGGTTTTATAACCCGGGAGTTCCTGAAAAGTCTGAGAAAGCCATTCTGTGATATAATGGAGCCAAAATTTGATTTTGCAATGAAATTCAATGCACTGGAGTTGGATGATAGCGATATATCCCTTTTTGTGGCTGCTATCATTTGCTGTGGAGGTAAGCAATACGTATTTGTTCTGAAATATAGCAACTGTTAAGGTTTTATATTAATAATTTTAATGGAAAAAGTGTATGCTTTACAGTTAATGGAATTCTGAAGATTTAAGTCTACCTCTAACAATGTCGATTCCCTTTTAGCCTGTTGCATAAAAGATATTGTATAGTTGTTAAGGCCTTGGTCCTGTATTTCACTTTGCAGAACTGTATGCATGCATGGAATTATTCTCTAACCTCATATTCTCTAACCTCACTCAGAGGGGTCTGGGTGCTCAATGTTTTTAAAAGCAGGATGTGAAGAGTGTTGGTGGGTGGGTTTTTTTTGTTTGTTTGTTTTGTTTTGGAGGCTTAGGGCTGTGTAGGAAACGGTGTTTGTTTCTGTGCCATGGGCAGAAAAATACAATGTAATGAGATTGCTAGCATGACTGAATAGGCCTTTTCTACTCTACTTTTAGAGGCAGATGCAGCTTATAACTTTGATCTTGGACACTCGCTGACTGGATCACACAAGTTCTGCGCAAATGTGCTGCTCTGTTGATGCAGTTCCTGTGTTACGATTATGATCTTAATATCACAGACAATTTTCAAATATTAGCTTCCTCTTTCAAATTAGCTTATGGTGTTTTTTTGAAGTTTTTCATAGTACCTTAGAACGTGTGTGTGTGTGTGTGTGTTTTTTTTTTTTTTTAATGTCTACTGTTTACACTCTTTGTGAGTGAAGGAACACAAATGTAATCCTTCTTTTCCTCCAGGAAGTAAGGACTTTCATATTTAAGATTAAATTCAAAACTATTTAACAGCATTTTGAAAAGGGAAATAACGGATCAAGACAGTTCCAGCAGCAGTGACTGCCCGCCTTTATTGTATTCTGCCAAACTTGCAGAACAACGCTTCACTGGCCTCTGGTTGCATCTTCAGCAATAACAAGAAGAGAGACATGATCTGTAGACTTTCACATATTTCATGCACTAATTTAGATAGCAAGTTCCCATCACATTTTGAATTACTTCTGCATATTATATTGAATTTGAATTTTTCAAAGGTCAAGAGAGTTCTTTGCAGGCAAAATGGTATTTTTCCCTATCCTCCTCCTTAGAAACGTCTTAAGTTTTCAAAAAAACAACTTTAGCCTATGGTACCATACTTCTTACAGAGAAGTTTGATCCAGAGAATCAAGAGGTGACAGGATTGTTAAGTCGCTGAAAATGGGATCATATATTGTGAGTGTGAAACACCCTTAACAGATGCTTCTCTAACTCCTGCCAAAAGCTAGTGTCATGGGAATATTTATGGGAACCAAGGGTGAAACACCATTATTTTATGGCTGTTTGTATGGCTCCCAGTCTTGGAGAACTCCCTCGAAATAGCCAAATGCTTTTTTCCTCGTCCTTACCGTTTGAATTCTGTTATCCTGTCGAATATAGACCTGGATTCCTAGGCTGTATGCTTCTACTGACTTTTTGTGGCATGGAATGCATTAGTACCATGAGCTCTCTCCTCAGATAACCGTGGACATTGAAAACACTTGGGCCAAAGGGACAAGACTACCTCTATTTAAAGAAGATTAACTTCAAGCCTGATCCAAAACCTATTGAAATTGATGAGAATAGTCTCATTGTCTTCCATGTATAATGTAGATAACCTACAATAAAGAATAATTATAAAATTATGACATGTATTCTTCTGTTTGTTTTGAGAACAGATCGTCCTGGTCTTGTAAATGTAGGACACATTGAAAAAATGCAAGAGAGCATTGTGCATGTACTGAAACTTCACTTGCAAACCAACCATCCTGATGACATCTTCCTCTTCCCAAAACTTCTTCAGAAAATGGCTGACCTCCGACAACTTGTGACAGAGCATGCTCAACTTGTTCAGATAATTAAGAAGACTGAATCTGATGCACATTTACACCCTTTACTACAGGAAATCTACAGGGATATGTATTAAGGATTTTTAATATTTTTTTCCACAATATTTAAAGACAACAGCAATATTAATAATAGATGGGAGCAAAATTACTTGCACAGTTATCTGCTGTTCACTCAGTCCGGAGCATGAAAAATCTAAAAGCTAGATAACTGAGTGTTATACTTCTTCTGGTTTGGGTTCTTCTGTCCTTTTTTGAAACAGTTCTCCAGAGAAATATCAATCTTAATGCTCATGAAGTTGCTCATAAAGGTTCATTTATTTGGAAATTTGAGAATTGGTAAGGAATACATATTTGTATAATAAATCAGAATGCTGATTGACAGAAATGAACAAAATTGTATTTCCTCTTGGCTAAGTCATTTTAGAATTAATATAATAAATTCAGCAAATTATCTCCAGGTATATGCACAATCATGAAGATTATGCACTCTTGGCTAATGGTAGTTACTGAGAACCAACTAATGCTTTTACTTGACTAAGGCAGTCAGTCTAGATGTATCAAATGGTTTGATTTTACTGTATATACACTTCTAAAAAAAAAAAAAACTGAAAGACCTTTGACATGCTACTGCCTGAGCTCCATGAAGTACAGTACAGCTTCATGTAGTTTTAAATTGGTAAACTTTAGGATTAGCATGTTGAAAAGATATTTCTTTTATGAAATGAAATAAAATCCAAAGAGTTATTTAAAATACAGCAGAGGTGCTCCATTCAGATGTTTCTTGATGACTACATGAAACAAAAACAAAAACAAACAAACGGAAAAAGATTCCGTTGCTTTAAGTGTTTTAAGGAAATTAGAAAATGTCCCTATGGGTAAATATATCATACTGTATGTATTCTGGAGAACTTGCAATAGCTCTAGATGCAGTTTTGATTTAAAAATATCATTTTAAATTAGCAAGAGTTCTGGAGAGTCTCCAAGAAATCTAATCCTAGCCCAGAGAAAATGAATTCCAACTTCATAGCATTCGAGTGCCTAGAATGATAGCTTACTCTGAAGAAATTATTATATAAGAATGGCACCTTCTTTCTTGACAGGTATTTTTGCAGTGTAGAGTGATTCAAACTTTTCTACTTTTCTGATGAGTACACTATTTTGTATTGTTTTTTTTCAGTTATCCACTTGGATATATTTCTTTCTGTTCTTTCTTATACCTTGTCCATAGCAATATTAACCATGTTATTTCATCAGGTTTTGTACTTGTCCATACAACCATAATGGATAAGGTGACAGTATTACCAAGAGCAGAATTTGTAGATGTCAATTGTGTGACATGTGAAAGAGAGCACAGTTGAGAGTAAATAAGTTTATTGGGTACCTGAGAGGAAGCTTTGATTTTTACAATACTACTTAGTCCTGATGCAGAATGAGCCAAAATGGGACAGCCTGACTTTCGCCATTTAACAGGATCCCTTATCAGAGATGTCTGCAGAAAAAGTGAAAGCAAGTGCTAGCCATTAGTTTAATCGTGTATTTGTTCAAGACTCTGTGCTATTTCTTTTTCTCTTCTTTTTTTAATCTGGAAATTTAATTTTGTTATTTCCTTATCTGCTTATTTATTTCATAACACAAAGATTTCAGATGCCAGTCTTAGCATTTTCACAATAGTTAAACTTCCAGTCGCATAGGGGGACACTTTATGCTTGTTTTATTGTAGCCGGTTTCAGAATCTTAAGCCTTCACTGAAAGAATTAACAAAGATTGGTAAAGTGAGAACATCAGGATATGTTTTTTATTTTAGTCACAACATTTGTTTCTTATAGGCCCACTGGTATGACTAGACACTGGATAAATTACAGGTTTAAAAGCAATTTGATATTTATCCAGGTGATGGCCATTAGCTGAGGTTTTAGTTAACTGCATTGTGCAAATTATTAAGGCGTAGGCCTCATATTTCGTGACTATCTTGGGCAGGACAGAAAGAATAAATGCATATGTACAGAATTATCCCTCCTTCCCTGTCAAGTACCTTCCCTTCTCCCCAGTAAGCAACAGGGAGTGATGTTAGTTATGTTACAAGTACTTGTAACGCTTCGTGAAGAGAAGGCTGTAGGTCTTAACAGGAAAAACTAGAGGCAAAGTGGGTTGTCTTTTTATGTTATAGCAATACATAGTATGCCCTCAGAAATAACACGATTTTAGCAATGAAGCTCCTTTATTCCTCAAGTCAGCCGTGTTTCGCTATGGAACGTTGGGCTTTAAGCATAAGACATTCAACGTTGAAGCAGTTGATACACAATATTGCTTACTCAAAAAATTGTCAAAACGTTAGCCATTCTGTGATGACATATTGCACATTTGGAGATGGTACGTGTGGCATCAGTGTGCAGGAAGAGC